TAAATGACCCGCGACAGCCGAAAAGAATGCAATCCCGCTTTTCGAAGCATTAGACAAAGCAGAAGACTATGCTACTAGCCATACCACTTGCTCTTGCGAACTTTATACGAGCATACGTCTAGCCGACGCGAGCACGTCTAATTCACATCATTCTGTCGAAACAATGTTGCAGCTAATCATCAATGCCATAGTGTTAAATGAAAGCCAAAATTAAAAAGCAAGTTATGCTGAAAATGAAACATTAAAATGTGCCTGTTGTTTCTTGCTGACCAAAGGCTTCAGTTTTGATATGAAGTTAGTCTGTTTGAACTCTGGATGAGCTTCATCCGTGTCTCTTAGTGGAAGAGTATCACCTGAAAATTTGTTAACTTTCATTTCCAGCGCATTTTGTCAGAATAGACTATAAGGAAGTGAAATCTTATGCTAAATGAGGCCCAACCTTGTATCGCTTGAAAAGCATGAATTTTTACTAAGCACACTTCACACAGTCAGTTAAAAAGACCATCGAGTCTAGGATCATTGGATCTATGAGTTAAGTCTTTCTAGACCAAGAAGCAAACATGCGCCATATCCTTCAGCTACACAAAAGGGTAGAATTTCTTTTTGACACTGGTAAAGCTGTCAGTCGTTTAAGTTCAGTCGCAAAAGATACGACAGAATGTCTTTCGGACAAGCTGACAGCTACCAAGATGGGAACTATGGCTTGCATTTACAGGTACTCCTCGCCTGTTGCAACCCCTCACCATGAAGAGACAATCGGAAGGGCAAGGAACTGCGGGATTCTGAGCTAAAAAATGATGAAAATATTGCAAGCTTATTCTTCTTGCTCTTTTAGTTAACAAAAAATTCTGAAGACCCTGTACTGCATTCCTAAAAATACTGCATTTCTATTTGAGCAAAAAGTTACTTGTGCCTAAAGTTGACGTCGAGTGCGTGTCACTGCCTTCCACTTCCGGATGCGCTCTCTGATCGCCAGTTACTAAAAGCAGTCATACTTTCAAAAAATGTAATGAAAAAGTTCTCACATTAGTAACTGCCACTGATTCTTTTGCATGAAACTGGAAACTGACTTCGCAGCGATTCAGTACCTTTATTCAAAATAAAAAATCAAAATTTCTTTTACATTTTCACTCACTGCAGCAGGCGCAGAGACTCGGAAGTATAGTGCAGTGCCAAAAGCAACCGCTCGCTAACTGTGCTAATGACATCCTCTTTTGAGGCTTGCTTAGAAGAAAGCCGATGGTGGTTATTTCGCCGTAGCATACTTCAGTAGCAATTAAGAATCGGAAATTACAGGACAGCTTTCTCCACTTGTAGGGTCGAACCAGACCTTTTTTCAGCCTAAGAGTTGCGCCATCCGCCATAAAAGCTGGTTCGCCAGCACAGTATTGCTTATCTGTTTTTTAGCCTCAGTATCAAGTATTGCCGAATCAAAAAAAAAAAGTTAATGATAGTGGCACTCACGAACTGTTGAAACATCTTCACCGACAACGGCTTCTGGATTTTCGGACACTTCATCTTCCTCATCCAACTTCCCTTCGCGTAAAAACTGCTCCATTTGTAATTTTTCAATGTCTGCTTTCAGTCGTTTATTTTTGATCAATATTTTACGCTTCAGGCGATTCGGCGATGGCAGCGGTACTCCGGGCTCCAGTGGATAATCATCCAGTGGCTTCGATAACAGCATATCACCAAAAATCTCCATGCAATACTTCGCCATTTTTAACTGATTTGGTCGCGAGCAGTGATTTTCGAAAGACAAAATTACTGGAAAATCAGATCGAGCAAATGCGGTATCTCGAATTTGATAAAGCACATCCTGAAAATATTGAAATTTCAGCCAGAAAAAGATGCTCTTTTTTTTACTGTCCTCCCAGTGACTAAAATGTTACTCGCTTAGTTTATTTGGTATTAAAATTTCAGTGTCTTGTTGTTGGCTACGTCTATTTCAAGAACGGTCAAACAGCATCTGGTTACAACAAGTCACTGAAGCTAACGAAATATTTTAGGAATAGAATGGCATTTCTGGAATTATAACACAAATAAAACAAT